GCTACAAGTTCTTCAAATATCTATAGAATGATAGGTTTCTTTTTTGTGAGTGTAAAACACTTAAATACATTATTCTCTACTGCTCCACCAACAGAAATGTAAAAGGACAACTCATAGTACTAAGGATGGAGGCTAGTAAGAGTAAAACTTGGTAGAAAACTGCATTCACCCCAAGCAGGAAATACTCCTAATCCAGTACAAGTGGTAGTGCGGAAAAGTACAGTCAAAGAACCTGCAACATGGTGATAATGGTGAAATATGGAACTACTCAACTGGTCTACATATTTCAGGGGTCAGCAGACTATGTGGTTACAGTAGTATGTCAAGCCCTAGAGTATGTGAGAACAATGTATGTGAAATACCTACCAAAACAAGTAGGTACAGAGATGAATCATCTCAGAAGTTCATCCTGAAGAGAACACAAAATACATTCAGCTTGTCACAACCAACAGGAATGGTTTGTTTTTTGGTGCAGGAGTGGCCTGTACTACAGTTCTAAGTAAACATCCCTGCCCCACTTCCAATCAAGAGGTGCATCTACTCAGTGGGATTACACTGACCGGAAGGAGAACTGTCCATATTGATCTCCCCAGGAACTTGGTAGATGAAATGCAAGGGTAATGCCACTCTATTAGAAGAGGGAGGAGTTTGTGTGTTGTAAAAACCTGAGAGTTGTGTGGACTGAACATGAACTACCTATCAACTGAAAGGTTGTGCAATGGGTTACCACAAATAGGGACAGCTGGAGTTGGCCACATGTGAGAGGAGGGAACCACACCTGGTGGTTTTTTTTTTCCCTTCAAAGTACCAGTATGGACTAGTAGGCAAACTGTTTAAACCACCAAAGCAGTATTGAATAAATCACCATTTAAATAGGGGCAGAAGGACTTAATGCTTTCTGTTATCTATATATATATAGTAGAACCTCAATTAACAAGCACAGTGCCATTAAGGGCAGACCTTTTCAGTCTCTTTCTTTTTTTTCTACTATTTGTAACCAAAATAAATCTTGCAATAATGGGCACCTCGATATTCCAGACTAAGGGCAATGTCTTTAGTCTTGTTCTCAATACTAGCACTGGATAAAGTGGGCAGTTAACCCCTTTCTCTGTGGGCAGGTTAAATGGAATTGTTTTGTGACCAGAGGAATTGCAAGCTCTTCATGTGAAGTTTGTTGCATAAAAATTTTCAGGAATTTTATAGTAACTCGATGTTCATAAGTTATGCAAGTACGAGTATAAAGTGATCAAAAACATCGAAAAATTGACAAATGGAAAAGTGATTTACCACATAGAAAGTATGAAACTCTGAGAAAGAAAATGAAACATCAGGATGTAAGTTACAGAAAGAGAGAGGCTAGCTCACCAAGTTATGAGGCAAGATCAAATGAGAAGAAGCCAGGAACAAACCAGTTAGAAGAAATCAGGAGCAATTTTGTAACAGAAAAGTACACCATTCAGTTCGCAAAGATCCTAATCTGCATTATATAGGGGACTAGTAAACATGTCGCTCTACAGATGGCTGTTAGGTTTACCTTGAAGCCAAGTTAAACCACTTTGATTACACACAGATAGAGACCATTACACTAATTTTGTGACTTTTAAAACTAATCTTTTGCACATGAACTGATTTTAGGTTGTCGTAGCAAAGGGGTTGAATACTTATGCAATTGAGAGTATTCTAATTTTCTTTGAAAATCTAACTTACTTACATAATATCTGCATTTTTTTAGCTTTCTCAGTTTTGAGTAGATTATGTAGATTCTAAATATAAAAGTCCCATTTGAAAGTTTCATAATTGCTTGCTCAAGTGGCAACAAAATGGTTAAACTTTGCAGGGGAGTGAATACTTTTGCAAGGCACTGTACATTCTAAAGACAATGGACCCCACTACATGGCTGGTGTTGTCTCACGGGGAATGTTTCTATCTGCCAAAATGCATCTGTTCAAGCCACAACTCACATATTGATACAACAAACCAACCATGAAGACCAAGGAGCTTTCCAAACAAGTTAAGGATAAGCGGTAGAGAAGCACAGATCACAAGAAGGTTACAAGAAAAATTAAAAGTGGCTGATTATCCCTTTGAGTATGGTGAAGTCCATCATTAAGAAGTGGAATTTGCTTCATACCACACAGTCACTACCCAGATCAGACTGTCTTTCCAAACTAAGCAGCTGGGCAAGCAGGAAATTGGTTAGGGATGCCACTGTGAAGCCAAGATAAACTGCCAGGGTGGATGACTGACAAAAAGTAAAAAAAAAGTGCTACTGGGAGAAAAAGCTGTCCATCTTGCAAGGGACTGGTAAAAAACCACATGTGTAAGATGAAGATGTGTAACACTGTGGTGAAGGATAGACATCTGATGCTGACGTAAAAAGGGACCTTCAAAATGACAGAAAATAAAGGCTCTAAAATCACCAAGATGCAAAGGAGCAGAAGTTATGAAGAAGGTTAAAGAGGGGCAATAAGAAAAATGTAACAAGGGATACTGTGAATTAACCTAAGCATGTCATGACGTTTTACTGAGTTACATTCAAAATTTAATTAAGCAAATTTACTATCAATGTACATCAATGAAATTAGCATTATAATGTGTTATAATTCAATGTTTTATATTATTTATGTTTTAATTCCTTTATTTCAAACAAAACTTAAAAATAAAACTCTTAATCTTTGGTTTTGTTGTCCTGTGACACACAAGCAATTATAAGTCTCAGCTTTTATTCTCTGTAACTTAAGTAATTCTTCTCATACACTAGACCACAAAGCCTAGACAGAAACTAGGCTAAATGCTCTGTTTACACATCCTTCTTTCAAATTCCTTGGGGCAAGTTCTGAAAAAGGAAAAATAAATCTCTTGGGAACTCTTGACAGAAGCCACACCCACTTTCTAACCATAATGATACAAATTCACACTCAACTCTATATATTCCTGTAGATGTTTATAACCAATAGAAAGAGCTCATTTTAAATTAAATGT